TACCCCGGAAGGATGGAAGGCTGAGTCAACCTTGAGCCGGTGAGATTTGAACCGCTGACCTGCTGAACACAGTCAGCTAAAGTGGCCTGCAGTACTGCACTCTAACTGCTGCGCCACCTCAGCTCTTTTTGATAGATTTTATACAAGATTTTATACAATATAAGTTGGATATAAAATAATATTATTTAGTTTTTCAATAACTTATATTTAAAATTTAAAATATTTTATAGACTTTATTCTTTTTTATTTTTATTTTTTATTTTTATTATATTTTCTTTTATCTTTTTCTTTTTTCTTTTTTTTAATTCTTTTTTCTTTAAAGCATTTTTCTTTTGGTATTTATGTTTTTCTATATATATATTATTGTTAATTATTTTATAATTTGTTCAATTAATGTATTTAGATTTATTCATGGTTTATATCTTTTTTAAGATTTTTTGAAGAAATTTCAATTAAGTCTGTATTCAGCTCTGAGAAGGTTGGGGGAGGGAATGGGAGGGTTGGGGAGGTTTGGGAAAGGGTTGTTTTGTTTTTGTAAAATTTTAAAAAATTTTCAATAACTTAGTGATAAGCCGGCGACCCCAGCGAAGTTCAGCAGGGCTCTTCCCTGTGGTTGTGCAAGGTGTGTTGGGATGTGCAAGAAGAAAGTCTGCTAACCTGTGATGCCAGTTACCGTAAGTCAGTTTCTTAAGGGCATCCTTGATGGTGCGCACCATACGCTCAGCCATTCCGTTGGTGGATGGGTGGAAAGGAGCCAAAGTTGCATGGCAGATCAGATTGGCCTGAAGAAAAGCCTGGAACTCAGGAGAGGTAAATTGAGGACAGTTATCTGAAACCAGAACATCTGGAAGGCCATGAGCTGCAAAAATTCCTCTCAACACCTGGATAGTCTTCGCAGTAGTAGTGGAGGATACAGGAACAACCTCTAGCCACTTGGAATGGCTATCAACAACAACCAGGAAGAATTGCCCCTGAAAGGGCCCAGCATAATCTATATGTACCCTAGACCATGGGCTTTGAGTTTCCTCCCACCTGTGAACTGGGGCCTGAGACACTTCAGGCCGGGACTGTTGGCACACATGGCACCCGTGTACCTGGGCCTCGATTGTTTTGTCAAGGCCAGGCCACCACAAATGGCTGCGCACAAGCTCTTTCGTCTTGACTATCCCAGGGTGTCCCTCATGCAGAGAGATTAAGATTCTAGACCTCAATGAGGCTGGGATTACTACCCTACTAACCCATAACAAGCATCCCTTGAAAGTGGACAACTCATGCCTCTTTTGCCAGAAACTTTGGAACTCAGAATCCGGGTACGTGTCAGGCCATCCTGACAACACCCATGTCAGCATGCATGTAAGCATGTGATCAGTGGCAGTTTCTGCAGCCACATCCCTAGCATTGAGGGGAGACTCAGGCAGCTCGTGAATGGACAGAATATTAACGGCTGGAGCAGGATCAGGTTCCAAGGTTGGCAGGAGTAATCTACTCAGGCCATCTGCATGACCCATTTCCTTTCCAAGTTTGTGAATTAACATGTAGTCATATGCTGACAGGAAGATGGACCAACGCAGCATACGAGGAGACAGGATATGTGGGGTTTGTTTGGTAGTGGTAAACAACCCCAACAAAGGCTTATGGTCAGTGTAGGCCGTGAAGTGGCGGCCGTATATGAAATCATGAAACTTCTTAATGCCAGCCATGATAGCCAAAGCCTCCCTCCCAATTTGAGCATAATTACGCTCTGCAGAAGACAGGGTCCTAGAATAATACGCCACAGGGACCTGTGTCCCATCAGCCTTCAGGTGGCTAAGTACAGCTCCCACCCCATATGGAAATGCATCACAGGCAATGCAAACAGGTAGCTGCTCATTGAAGTGAGATAGCACTGCATTGGAAGTAAGCAAGGCTTTAACCTCATTGAAACTTTTTTCATGGACTTTAGTCCACTGCCAACAGGCTTGTTTGTCCAAGAGCCTGTGCAAAGGTTCAGCTATTGCAGCTTTATGTAGCAGAAAAGCATGGTAAAAGTTTAATAACCCCCCAAAAGCTTGTTGTTCGCCCTTAGACTTAGGGCTTGGGGCCTGCTGAATAGCTTTCAATTTAGCTTCAGAAGGGTGAATGCCTTGAACATCTATCCTGAATTCCAAAAAGTCAGTAGAATTGACTCCAATCTTACACCTGTCTTCTTTAGCTTAAGGCCTGCTCTTCTAAAATGAAGTAAGACAGCCCTTAATCTCTCTGCCAAGTTTTGAGATGATTCTCCAGCAATGAGGACATCATCAAAATATGGGCAGACTCCAGGAATACGCCGCAGTGTGTTCTCCATAACACTTTGGAATATGCCAGGGGCTACATTCACCCCAAATTGCAGTCTCTTTACTTTAAAAGCTCCTCTATGAGTTACAATTTTCTGAGCCTCAGCAGCTGCCTCATCAACAGGCAACTATTGATAGGCCTGTGCCAGGTCAAGCTTCGCAAAAATGCACCCTCCCCTTGAGAGAGGCCAGGTAATGGCTTACTACAGGTATTGGATAAGCGTGCTGTTGCAGTGCCTTATTCAGTGTGCACTTGTAGTCTGCACATATACGTATGTCCCCATTAGCCTTTAGAGGTGTTACTATGGGGGTTTCCCATGGACTAGAATCTACAGGTTGTAAGATGCCCTGCTGGAGCAATTTGTCTAGTTCAGCATCACTCTTGCTCTTGAGAGCAAAAGGTACCCTCCTGGGCTTAACCCTGATGGGCGTTATGGAAGGATCTAATCATAATGAAACTGGAGGCCCCTTGTAGGTTCCAAGCTCAGAGCTAAACACATCTGCAAATTCCTTACAGATTTCTGTCAGGCTCCATGTTTGCAAATTGTGCAGCCCTGTAACCTGGATTCCCAGAGCCTCGAACCAATCGAGTCCAATAAGACTCGTGCGTTCACCCCCAATAACCAACACATCTAAGGGACCTTCAAAATCCTTGTACTGTACCTTAAGGGTGGCCTCCACCTTAACACACACCTTAGAATTCTGAAAGTCTGTGAGTATTACATTGGATGGCCTGAGTTTATCTCGAAGGCCACTGCTGCTGCAAATTTTCCTAAATGTGTTGAGGGAAATAATGGAGAGAGCGGACCCAGTGTCCAATTCCATTGATAAGGAAAGGAACCCCTTGTAACCTTACTTTAAGGGACAGTTTCTTCTTAAGGGGTTTATGTGTGGCTATCCTTAAAATATTTCTGCGTGTTGCATAGAAACCCACCCTATTTTGGCTGGGGACCCTGGTACCTTTCAGATGCAATTCTTCTCTAGGTTGTACCTTCTAACGACCCAAACAGACGGGTGCGATGTGGCCTTGCTTGCCGCATGCTCTGAAAATGGTGGAACGGAACTGGCAGTCATCTTGTTTGTGGCGTCCTCCACACCCGAAGCATTGAAGAACTGTTGGGGCCTTTTCTGTGCATTCCTTCTGTCTCCTTCTAGCTGCCTGGTGAAGCTTATCCACCTCCTCTTCAGGATCTTCCTCCGAATCTTCTCGCACGTTTTCCTGATGGACAGTGACTGTCTCTGGAGAGCTTCTGGTGGGCCGCAGATTCTTTACTGCCCTGCCTGCTGCTTCCTCTGCTGTAACCTCTCGCAGAGCATCTTGGAAAGAGACATCTTCTTTAGCAAAGATCTTCTGCTGTAAGTCTCTGTTCCTTAACCCGCATATAAAATGGTCGCGCAGCCTTTCTTCCAAGTCTTTAAACTCACACAGTCTGGCTGCTCACCTCAAGGCCGCAATAAGGTCCTTAGCAAATTCACCTGCCCTCTGTTCCCTTTGTTCAAAAGTGTGCCTCCAAACAATGATGGACAACTTAGGCTGGAAATGCTCTTTCAAAAGTTTCTTTAAGTCAGTATACGTTACTGACTCCAGGGAAGCAGGGACCACCAGATTTTCTGCAATCTCAAAGGCTTCCTGCCTGCAGACACATAGCAGGGTTGCAGCCTTCAATCCATCTTCTCTGATCTGGTTTACCCTGAAATAATTCTCCACCCTCACAATGTAGGATTCCCATCTCTCCAGGTGTGAGACATCGAACTCAGATAAACAGCTGATCTTCGCCATTCTGACTTGCACTTCACCACTCGCTTCTCTTAGGGAAGGGGTCTTTTAGCCGAACTGACCCTCCAGCGACACTGTACTAGCAGGCTGGGACTCTGACTTTAACGCCGTCTTCCCTCTTCAGGACTTCTTTAGGTGAGCCTTTACAGCAGTGGTTCTCAACCTGTGGGTAGGGACTCCATTTGGGGTCAAACGACCATTTCACGTCAAACAACACAGTCCGTCATTTTTTTCCCCTTTTCCTTAGCTGTGCTACTCCCTTTTATTCTGTTGGCTTTTGAAAGCCAATAGAATAGACTCTCTTGAATAGAGTCTAATTCTATTGGCTTTCAAAAGCCAATAGGAATTGTCCAGACTGTCTCTGCCCTGCTGAGCCCGCCAAAAGTCCCATTCTGCAAACGGTGCTGCACCAGTTGAGTAGTCCTTGACTTACGACCGGTTGAGTAGTCCTCGACTTATGATCGGTTGGGGGTCGTGGCATTAAAAAGGTTGAGAACCACTGCTTTACAGCCTTCTTCTGTTAAGCTTGTAAAGAATTCCATTCTCGTCACCAGTGTTAAGTCCTTGCATTAATGGCGAATGATGAAGACACATCTTTCCTTGAATAACTCTTTATTTCATTTTCCAGCCAGAACTCCAACAACAAGCAAAGGCACGCAGGCCTCCTTTTATACACCCAAATCCCCGGACACAATGGCAACAGAAAACAGACACTTTTCCCGCCTTGCATATGTACACAAAGCCAGCACCACTCAGTCTGGTCCCGGGCAGCTTCTGCAAAACCCGGGATCATTGCAACGTCCATTTGCAGGCTCAGGACACAACAATATGCATGTTTATTCTGAAGAAACTTTAATGGGGAAGTGTAATGCATAGGATTGCAGCCAAATAATTAAAAAAAAACTTACATGACATTTTCTGCAGTTCTTGATTAAAATCTTCTGCCCTTCTGCCAACACTTTATCTCCATAGATGCATTTTGCTAAAAAAAACAAACCAGACATTACTATTTAGTCCTAAGAGTAAAATTGTACACTTTAATAGAAACAATATTGCTTAAGTAAATATGATGTCGTCACTTTGCTTTCAGTAGCAGTCAGCGTTAATTGCTCTCATTTATTTTGACTGCAATAGTAAATTCATTACAAACACTATTATTTTGAAACATTTTACCACTCACAATGACAAACTAGCTACTTAGTGATCTGAAGTAAAAGCAGATCTGGAACAGATATTGAATTCGATTCATTAACAGAATTGCTCATGGCAGTGACATTCTGTAGGATCAAGTACATTTGTGTTAAAAATGCTCGTATGAAAGAATTAAATAAAAATGTGAAAAATGGGCCATCATGTAGAAATAACTAAGCAGAATGCTGAGCAATGGGTCCTAATATATGGATTAGACTAGCCCCATATACTAAAGAAGAAACTTCAGAACTATTTGCAGTTAAACAGAAGCAACTTCCATAGACATAGCCATAGACCTGTGTCACCCACTACCAGAAAAACAAAGTTATATATGGATGTATGGAGTATCCAAAAAGAGAGTCTACCATATAAACAGTAAGTCTTTAAATTCCTCCCTGGGAAGAGAAAAAATTCCACCAATTTCAGCAAGGCTGACTGCCAAGTAAGTAGGTTTAGCATTATCTGCCGAATGGGTCACTTTTTTAAAATGAGTAATTGAAATAAGTTATCTAAACTTGACTTTTATAGGCTGCTGGTTGCAAAAATATCCATTATTTATAACCATTTAGGATAAAGTTCTGCTTTATGTGCAGGCCTCTAATTCCAGGTATCTGTTAACAGGAGGATCTTTAAAGGCAGGGGTCCCCAACCTGTGGGCCAAGGCCTGGTACTGCTGGCCACCGGGCCACGGGACAGGCTGGCCAGTGCATGCACGTGTGTATGCACACCCCTCACCTGTGCTAGTGGCACGGCCACAGGGCAAAAAAATGGGCTGGCCGCTGCACCTTAAGGGCATGAAAATGGGCCACCACTGCGCCTAGGGATGCAAAAATGGGCCGCTGCCACATCGCGAGGCACAAAAATGGGCTGCTGCCATGCTGCAAAGTATAAAAATGGATGCCATCGCACTGCAGAGTGTGGAAATGGGCTACCTCCATGCTGCAGGGTACAAAAACAGGGCGCCACCACATGAGACAGCAGTTCTGGTCTTGCATAGTCTGCACCCATTGCGCTCGTTGTGAGTTGGTACTCTGTTGTTCCCACTTCCTTAGTGCCTGATAAGCAGGCAGTAACTCTATGTGGCAATTAATTAGTGCTCATCCAATAGCCAAGCCTCCTTTCAGTAACTGGCCACCCTTGGTGGCATCCTGGGCAATGGCCTACGCCCCAGCAAGGTCGAATGTGTGATTGTTGCTGGTTACTGAAGGAGGCTTGGCTGTCGGATGAGCACTCAATTAATCACCACATAGAGTTACTATCTCATGCAACAGCAAAGAATCACGACCAGCAAAGGGGAGAAATCGATTCATACAGGAGCCAATGATTGGAGGTGGGGTGCCACACTCACAACAGGGGGGGTGGCCACAGGACAGAAGGCACTGGGTGACCATCCTATAACAATGTGTATCCAGATACATCCAAAGCAGGCAAAGAGAGCAACAAGAGAGGCAATGATCCCCGAGCTTACAAGTATACAGACGGATGCGAAATTATTAGAAGCAATATGGTCAACTGGGGTGGGTAGACTGGTAATGCATTCTATGAGCAGAGCGCACAAACTGCCGGTCTTATAAGCAGGCATTCGAACCTCTGGCATTCCACTCTGATGACGTCGGCAGTTAGCCGATGAAAGCTAAGTTTATCAAACAGATGTTAGTTTATTCAACAGTTGTTTTTTATATTTATCCCGGTGTTTGACTATTTTTCTCAACATTATACCCGGGATTTGCATTTTTAGTATAATTAGAGTCAATATACACATACATGCACAAACACACACTTTTCTACATTATTACAGTCATGTAAATCAACCAAGTACTGATTTGAATTTGAGACTGAAGCATAATATAAATTGATTCAAACATCTGAAGTCAGGGCAGAAAGATTACATTCAAATTAAGCTGGTAAAAGATTTTATCATGGGCTTTAATGGAAAAAGATCAATATGCTTGTAGCTACATTTGTTTTCTTTTCTTTTTTTCATGGATGAAAGTAGCAATAAAAATTACAATATTAGGAGCAGAATAAAATAAAAAAGAGATTAGCCCAGCAAATACTTAACTGGATACCATCAAAGGTTCTATACAATTAATTCTGAAACATTTTCCCTGCACTTCTTCTAAAATACAGACTGTTGATATGAAGAAAGCTAACACAGCAACCTCCCACTTGGCTAAATGCTTACTAATGCAAAAAATATCTGACACCCATTGAAAAATAAACATTTTCAAAAATTCTTTAAAAGGTAGGTTCTCAGAATGTGCTGCTTGCTTGCTTTTTTGAACTGGTAAGTTTGTTGCCATAGATCATTGTCTTTTTCTGTATTTTTTTTAAAAGAAGTCTGCTTTGTGTAATACAATGATATAAAGAAGCAATTTACATTATGCAAACTAGTCTATCAAAAAGCATCCTCACATAATTAGTTGATGTTGTTATTGTTCAGTCGCTAAGTCCTTTCTGACTCTGCAACCCCATGGACCATAGCACGCCAGCCCCCCGTCTTCCATTGTCTCCCACAGTTTGCCCAAATTCATGTTCATTGTGTAGATGACAATGTCTAACAATCTCATTCTCTACACCCCTTTCTCCGTTTGCCTTCAAACTTTCCCAACATTAGGTTCTTTTCCAATGAGTCTTCTCTTCTAATTTGGTGACCAAGATATTTGAGCTTCCTTGTAAATAGACCGATTCATAATTAAGACTCACTCAAAACAAATAAGCAGCAGAAAGAAACAAAAGGAGAGCATATGATAAGAAGGCATGAACTTGAAAACAATAAAAGATAAGAAATAGTAGACAGAATTAATCTGAGGGACTCTATCCCACTCATTTTTTTCCTTCCTTTCAAATGAACCTGTCTAAACCTATTCTACTAGGGCACAGGCAAAAAAAAAAAAAAAAGAACAGGCAGTGTTTTCATAGGTAACAAAACTCATGTGGGTCTGACAAACCCTTTCATGCAACTCATCTGCTCTTTACATTAGTTATACGAGGAAGCCATCTTTAAAACTCCCCAAGTCTCTCTCCAGTCTTCTAATCTCTCTGAGCCACTTTGAAGGTACCTTATTCAATTAGACACCATGCATTGATTCAAAGGTTCAATTTAAAGGTGTGATTCTTGCCTTCAAGACAAATCATCCTTCCCTAACATAAAAGAGAAAGGGGTTGCTTGAGCATTTACTCTGTTTGCATAATTTAAATTGTGTGAATATATGTGAGAATTCACTTCATAAAGTAAGTAATAGGACTGCAAACAGAAAAAAGAACACCTAAACACTTACAAATCCTACACTGCCATTGTTTTAACTCTCATTATAAGAACAGGTGTATATTTTAAAAACTAATATGCTTAATCCTCACCTTACCCCCATCTGATACCACCAAACCAAATGATACTAATTTGTGCAACCTTCAGAACATTACAAAACTACAACATACAAACAGCACAAATGAGCTAATGCTAAAACAACCTGTAAAATAACTATAGATTTAAAGCAACATCCTGGAATAGGACTTAATACATATTCATTGATCATAATTTAAAACAAGTGTTAATCTAGAAGTGTCAGATAAATAAGAATGGGATAGAGCAATCTGACCCTTCACTAGCCCATTAATCAAATAAAAACATCCCTGAAACTTTTTTAAAGGCCACCACATTTTCTCAGGGATGAAGACAGCTGATTCTATAGCAGTGAAGCTAAGTCTCTAAAGGCTTGGAACTTGACATCATGATCCTGGAGCCAAGGACCAAGAACAGCTTGTCCACAGAAATAAGGGGAGAGTGATACTGTGGAGAACTGTAAACATAAACACTGGCAATAGACTTGGAAAAGGAGTCAATGAAAAACTCTATGATGTAGTAAAACTTGAAAATAACATAGAACAGTTTTTCACCCTTAGCAGCTGTAAACTGTGTGGACTTCAACTCCCATAATTCCTTAGTTAGCATGCTGGCTAGGGAATTGTGGGAGTTGAAGTCCACCCAACTTACAGCTTTCAAGGTTGAGAAACACTAACATACAGTAAAATATTCAGAACAGCCCAAGCAGCACTATTTTTGACTCAGATCAATGGTATAGAGAGGAACCAGGAACACCTAACAGAACATTATAAAATAATATGATACACTCAAGACATGATCAACAATGTTACATATCCTTCTGTCAATAATTTCCAGATCCTAGAAAAGACATGTCAAACTCGCGACATCACATGACATATGTATCGGACCTTTTTTGCCATTGCCGGCAATGGAGTGGGCGCGGCTCTGGTATGATGAAACCGGCCCGCGGCCCGGCAGTTTGACACCCCTGTCCTAGAAGTATTCATCAAGTAAACATTAGGAACCCAAATCACAAAATCATTAAATAGGTAGTGATCCACTGATCCTCAATCAAGTCTCCAAGGCTACAGGAAGAGGAAACTGAGGCACTCCAGGGGTCTTGAAGAAAAATTGGGAGAAGACTCTGCAAAGAATAAAAAATGCATGTGACCTGAAACTTGACAATTCAGTTTAAAGTGGTAGGAGAACTTCCAAAAGGAAATCCTAGTAAGGCCTTCTACCATTGGTGAATATGCTTTGCTATGAAGAGCCACAAAAAAAAAAAAAAACCACAGATGTGAATATCATTAGAATAACAATGATACTGAAAATTCTGGTCATGAATCAGGACATCTATGGGTGGAATAAAAAAAAAATCTCCCTTTTTATAATCCTGTAATCCCTTAATTCAGGGTAGAGTCGGAGTGACTAGATGCAGCTGAGCATTTACTGGCAGGATGCCCTTCCTGACACATAGTTTGCAGCAAATTTGTGTATGTGTGTGTACCCTAAGAGAGAAACATCAGTCTCTACCTAGGATTGAACATTCAATCTTCCAAGTGGGAGGCAAGAGTCTTCACCATTGGGCTACCACACCGCTCATCTATGGGAAGAATATAAAAAATAAATAATATATATCCTTACGATAGGAACTGAATTTCACAATGCAGTACTACAAAAGAATGAGAATATAAAGGGATTTACACCAATCATGTGCATTGCCTCTGATGTCCAAGGATCATAAACTAAACAATAGAATGTCTAGAGAACAAATGAAAGAAAGTGACTTCTCAGTTGACCAGTCTGCTCCAAATCATGATTGATATAGATCAAAGAGGCCATTACAAGACAAATAGAGACTCAATTGTGAGAGGACAATTCTGTCACAAGGGATAAAAGAAACAAAGAAACAAGCTAGTGTAATTTGAGCACAAGGAAGAATCCAAAGAGAATTTCTTCAGCAAGGGATGAATAGAGGATATTTTTTTAAAAACCTAGTAATTAAACAATGTTTCACGAATTGATAATACAGGGCAGCAAAAGGGGTCAAAAATAATAAAGAAAAGAGGAGAAGCAATCGATAGGAAGAAGTATAAAGATTGCCCTTCACAATTTATCAAATGTCATCTTCCAAGATAGGAGTAAATTCAGTGGTGGGTTTCAAATATGTGAACAACCGGTTCTCTGTGTGGTTGCCACTTCCAGAAATCCATTCTGGACCTGGGCAACAAAAAATTAGCTACCGGTTCTGCCGAATTGGTGTGAACTGGCTGAATCCCACCATTGAGTAAATTCCAATGTTGTACACAAGAAGAAAAAGATAGAGGGGAAAAAAGGGGAGAAACAAGAAGAAAAGAGAACTACAGATTTTATAGGAAATGTTCATCTTCTCCTTAATTACCTCTGTTAGATTCTTAAAGGCTCCCCATATACTCTCTACAATTGCTAAGGTTTATATCACAGCATGCTTGCAACAAAAAGCAATATTCTGTAATCATTTTTATCATCACCTGCTTTACAACCTCAGTTTATCTCATATGATTGGATCTTTTAAAAAATCATTACAAAATATATACTACTGTCCTGTGTACTATCTGGGCACAATATGCTACCCAAAATGTTGTTTTGTTTTTCCATTCTATTTGGAAATACAACTGATAATTATTCAACTGGTCTATATAATTATAGGAACTAGAAGAAATACAGGGCCAGATGTTTAACAATGAGAACCATAAATCCATGCTACACAAAATGAATAGGACTCACAACAGCCAATGGGAATCTGCCTGACTTGTGCCCATGAAGGATAACTAGCTGCTGGACGCATATAGAACCGGGCAGATGTTCTATCAAAGTATATATAATGTGTTGGCAATAAATATCTGTATGTTAAAATAATGTGTTTATTGCAAATGTATCACAAACCTCCATCCCCAAATATATAAGATTCAAGGTTGTTAATCTGATGTGTATGTAGAACGGGTAAGTATGTTCATTTTCTAATATGAGAGTTTATATTCCAGAGTTCAGAACAAACCAGAAAGAAACCCTGTAAACAGTCAGATTGTGCTGCAAAGAAATCAGTCTATATTATCACAATGTATAGTGTTAATGACTAGCACTGTGTGCACAAAATGACATTTGTGTTGGAAAAAATTGGTTTTGATTTAGGGAGTTGTGTGAACCAATTACAATTATGTAAACCTGGTTCATTCAATAAACTACGATTAAAGCAAGCAATGATTTAGTTTGTTGTGTGATACTAGTCATTAAGCGGAGTTCTATTTTCCTATCAGTTTTCACTACAAAGTCACAAAGCATATTTTTCTTCTATGCTTTCTGCTATATTAACAATCTAAATATAATATCTATCAATGTAGCACTTTAGTGTCTCTTGCTGAGATTATAGAAATTATCTTGCAAACTCTTCTATTATTAGATTCTCTCAAGGAGTAAATAATTTTATTGTTGAATAGGAGAGCTCTGCAGGAGAGGAAATATACCTTGAGTTCAGGATACAGACACTTAACCATTGTTTAGAAACCTTAAAAAATTACCAAAGTATTTAAAATACTATAAGTTATAAACTATTACAGCAAATCCTGAGATTTCCTAAAACCAGCTGCTCAAGATAGTTCTTGAGATATGTAGATGCATTGGTCTAAACTTTCAGAGGAGAATGACAGAACTTGATTCCACTGGAATTATTTGGAATTGAATTTAAAATTGTACAAAGAGTAATGGTATATTCTGCTTCTCTGTAAGTATTATTGTTTATCTTGGATAATGATTTTGGAAAAATGAATAAGCTCCTTTACCTCCTTCTTGGGATGTCTATAATAAATATATAGTATAAGATTTATTCTCCAACTGTTTGATTTATTTCTGGTATTCATTTACAATTTGATGTTACTAACTTTCTACAGTTTCTGAAAAGAAACAGGGACACCTCACATACAAAACTTTCTCTGGCATATTCTGTTTTTTATGTAAACGTACCAAAATATACTTTTTCATGTAAGCTTGTGTAATATAGTCTTTCTTATACAGTTAACTATAATATATGGCCTTTTAAAGATACCATATCATCTTACCATTGTCTGGCAAGTCAGTATAGAATCTACTTTAAATATATGATTACAAAAGCAAAACACAGGTTGGTGTTACCAGATCATAAGAATTTTCCCTAAAACCCCTTAATTAATATTTCTAGTCTATATTAATAAGGCTACAAATTGGGGGGACCGTAAGTTTTAGTCCCACCTTAGTTTCCATATACAGTGGTACCTCGGTATTCATCGTTCATTGGTTCCAGGAGGAATGATGAGTACAAAAATGATGAGTATCAAACAATTTTTTCCCATAAAGAAAGGATGTAAATGAGTCACAAGGCAGCTGACACCAACAAGTGTGGCTGGTGTCAATTTCTGGTTTGGTGTCAACAAGTGTGGTTGGTGATCACAAGCTCAGGTGGTGATTACCAAACAAATGATGAGTACCAGGACAAAATTTTCATGTCAGAATGGGTCAAGTATCAAGTTGATGAGTTTCGAAGCAGTTGAGTACCAAGATACAACTGTATATAAGAGTGGAGGGAGGCAGATTTATACACATATATACATATACATGAATGAATACACTTCTAGAACAGAAAGAGGAGAGATCTGTACTTACATTTGCATACTTTGCAACACTGGCCAGTTATATGGACTGGAAGGCCATCAGAAGAACAATTCAATAGCGGGCAGGCCATTCGTCGGCATTCCACCACTCCATTCTAAACCAAAAGCAGATAAATGCAATAGTGAATGTATGAAATGTTATAATTGCCAGAATCTCAGTAGCATTAGATGTCATTCTTCAGCGTCCAGAATCTTATCTAACCCCTACCAATATGAACCATTACTAGATTTCTGGGAAAAAAAATCTTTCTTTTATTCCACTCCCCCAATCCCAGCAATTGCCTAAGAATGACAACCAAGAAAAAAGAATTTGATCTTCTCAAACACATAAATAACACCTTTCACATTCTGTCAATCATCTTCAACATTTTAATGAAAACTTTTCTATTTTCTTGAGCAAACAAGACCTTTTTTACGATACTTATCAAATAATTTCAACCAGGAAAGGTTTTCATACTAATTCAGTTCCTCTTCTATTCAAAATGATAAATACTAGAAACATAATTCACATATTGCTGCCATCTCCGTTGCAACTTAAGCATAATATTAATGTTTCTTTTTCCTGTTATCACAAAGATGCCGTTTAACTGTGCATTGAAAGTTCTGAAATGTGTAAAGCATTCTAAAATAATTAAGTGGTAAACTTTTTGTTTTTTTCTTTATATTATGCAGGTAGGTCACAATTAATTTGAGTTTAATATAAGTAGTTCTTAACGTATGACCATAATTGACCCCAGAATTACAATAATAAATTGTTTCATTTGTAAATCAAGGCATCATATATACATGACCAGACTCAATTTTTTGCAGTGTAAACATTGCAATCATTAAGTGAACGCCACAGTCATTAAGCACACTCAACTATTGTTAAATGAATCCATTTTCCTCAATAGCTGGAACCTGGAAGTAAATAGTAAAAACTGGCAAAAAATATTGCAAACCACTGCCTTGTGATTATGAGAAACTGCCAATGGCCATAAAGGTGAGCTGGTTGCCAAGTGCCCAAAATGTGATCACTTGACTATGTATCTTGGGGTGGGGGGGAGCTGTTGTAACTTTGGATGGTTGTTAAGCATCATAAGTTAAGGTCTACCTGTAATGTGATATTATATTCCATTTAATACAAATTGTAAATTGGTTCCAGGTTGCATTTAATGCAACCCCAAAATTCTGTTATCATGAGGCTAGCAAAAGTTTTAATAAGAAGAGGCTCTTTAATACATTAGAGCAAAAATTTGATGTCATTGAATGACATGAATGTGGTTATAGCAACACTATATGAGATGTTGGAATGTATGGATCTACAGTATATTTTTTATTTTTATTTTGCTTTAAGTTTAAATTATATGTAATTTTTATCCTTTACTGTAATATTTCATTGCTATGCATATAGAAATTTATGTTTAAAATTTTTCATTGCTTACTTCCATCGGGTGGAACCGATCACCCAATATAACTTTGAATAATATGAATTCAAATAATGCAATCATTTTTTTTTATTATTAAAGAGTTTTATAAATTTTACAGAAAATAAAAGACAATACAAAAACAAAAAACAACATATACAAATAAAAAACAAACATTACCCAACAAAACCCTCCTTCCCCCACCCCTACCCAAACCCCCCCTTCCCCCCCCAGTGCTTCCCAGAGCAGAATATAGGCTTAATTTAAAAAAAGTTTAAAAATTTATATTTATAAAAAAAAGAATATAAAATAGAATATATATATATATATATAAAGTTAAAAATTATGAAAAAACTATATAATATTTTTATATCAAATTTAAATTGTATGAATTTTATCCATTTATCCCAAACAGCAAGAAATTTCTCTTGCGTTTGTCCCTTTAAGAAAGCCGAAATCTTTGCCATTTCCGCCAAATGAGACACTTTAAGAAACCATTCCTGCAATGTAGGCAAAGATTCCTTCTTCCAATATTGTCCTACTAACAGCCTCGCAGCTGTAATCAAATTTAACATCAATATAACCTCCTTTGTATCACAATCAATAACTATACCTAACAAAAATAATTGTGGAGTAAATTTTACCCTCCTTTTAAAAATTCTCTGGATATTCCACCATATCTTAATCCAGAATGCTTTTATCTCTCTGCACGACCACCAAATATGATAATAAGTAGCGTCCATACAACCACATCTCCAACATTTAGGTTGTAAGTCAGGGTACATAAAAGACATTTTTTGTGGATCAAGGTGCCATCTATAAAACATTTTATAAAAATTCTCCCTTAAGTTCTGTGCTTGTGTAAATTTGACATTTCTCACCCAAATAGTTTCCCAGGTGTCCAATGGAACTGGCTCACCAAAATTCTGCGCCCATCTAATCATACAATCTTTAATTAGTTCCGTTTTTGAATCCAATTCAACTAAAACCCCATAAATCCTCTTAATGTGGGTTTGTCTTTGATCCTTCACTTGCTTAATAAGATTTTCATCTTCTCTAAGAAAACCCACCTTACAATCCATCTTCCATCTATCTAATAATTGCCTATATTGGAACCAAGAATAAATAATATTTTCTTGTGCTAACTCTTCCCGTGATTTTAACTGCCAGTTTTGTCCATCCCATTTAAGTAACTGTCTATAAGACACCATATCCATTTTAACCCCTCTTTTTATTCCTTCTATTGCATGCCAAGGTATAGCCCATAATGGTACTTTGAAATCACTTTTATAATATTTTCTCCAAACCCTAAGTAAAGAAATTCTTAAGATATGAGATTTAAAAGCCCAATCCATTTTTTTTATTAAATATTAAATAGGCATGCCAACCAAAAAGTAAATCCCATCCCTCCAAATGAAGTATCTCAAAGTTTGTTAAATTTACCCAATCACTGATTAATGTTAAAACCACCGCATCATAATATAATTTCAAATTCGGCACCTTGAGTCCTCCCCTCTCACGGAAATCTTGCATAATTTTAAACTTAACCCTTGGCTTTTTCCCTGCCCAAATAAATTTATTAAGGCCTTTCTGCCACTCAGTTAAATTGATCTCATTCTTCAAAATCGGTATCATTTGGAACAAAAAGAGAAACTTGGGTAGAATATTCATTTTTATCACTGCAATTCTTCCCATGAGGGATAATTGCAACTTTTCCCAATTCTTCAAGTCTCTCTGTACCCTAACCCACAACCTTTCATAATTATTTTTAAATAATTTTGCATTAGAAACAGATAGCATCACCCCCAAATATTTTACCTTATTAACAATTTCAAAACCCGTCAAATTAACCAAAGTCTGCTTCTCCCGACTAGTCATATTTTTAGGTAAAATTTTAGTCTTATTAACATTAATCTTAAAACCCGAAACCAAACCATAATTATGAATCAACTGTAATAATTTTACTACAGAATAAGTAGGTTGCGACAAAGTGATAACCAAGTCATCCGCAAAAGCTCTTAACTTATACTCTTTTTTATTAACTTCTATTCCTTTAATTTCCTGCGACTCTCGAATTTTGATCAACAGTATTTCCAGTGTTAAGACAAACAGCAACGGTGATAATGGGCAACCCTGTCTAGTACCTTTCTCTATTGTAAAAACCTCTGACAAGCCTCCATTAACGATAAGTTGTGCCGTTTGTTTTTGATATATTACCATAAGAGCTTGCAATATCTTTTCACCAAAATTCATCTCTTCCATTACTCTTAACATAAAATGCCAATTCAATTGATCAAAGGCTTTTTCAGCATCTAAAAATATCAGCCCTGCAGGAACTTGGTTATTTTTATCTAAATATTCTAATAAATTAATAATTTGTCTGACATTATTTTTCATGTACCTTCCAGTTATGAACCCAGATTGATCTTTATGCACAAGGTGGTGCACAATCCTCATAAGCCTATTTACTAAGATTTTTACAAATATCTTATAATCCACATTTAAAAGAGATATAGGCCTATAATTCTTTGGTAAAGTAAGATCTTGATCATCCTTTGGAATCAATGATATAAAAGCAGTACGCCATGAGGGAGGAATCTCTTGACCCTGTAAAATGCCATTAAAAAGATCACCTAATGGTTGAGTCATCTCCTCCAATAAGGCTTTATAATAAACAGCTGTTAACCCATCCGTACCCGGTGCTTTCCCTGGTTTCAATTGTTGAATTGCTAGCGAAATTTCCTCCTTAGTAATTAAACCATTAACTTCATGTTTCTGATCCTCTGTCAATTTAGGGAAACTAACCTCGCTTAGATATTTATTTATCTCTAAAATTTGCACATTAGTAGATTTATATAATTTTTGATAATAATCCAAAAAAGATTTCTTAATCAGTTCCTTCTGAGAAACTAATTTACCCTTGTAATTTATTTTATCTATTGTTCTCTGTCTCTGTTTCTTTCTCAATTGATAAGCCAGCCATCTCCCTGGCTTGTTAGCATTACAAAATGTATTTTGTTTCATAAACAATAAATTGGTTGCAGCTTGATCTGCTAACAACATATTAAATTGTGTTCTTAACAACTTTAAGGATTCTTTAATACTTTCATCAGAAGGATTTAAAATCAAAGACTTTTCTTTTAATTTAATTTCATCTTCCAATTCTTTACGTTTCTGAATCTGTTTTTGCTTATGACAATTATTCATTTTTATCAAAATCCCACGCATAAATGCTTTCCCTGCATCCCATACCATTGACATTGAAGTCCCCTTATACATATTCAAAGCAAAATAATCCTTTAAACACAAATAATGCAATCATTTTGTAAGATTCATTAACCGTGCTAATCAAGACCTACAGTATACATATTACTTATTTGTGAAGGTTACTACAAAAATTTGTATGATCTACCCAAGAACCAATATCAAATTGCAATAAGTTTCTTTATCCTCATATATAAGTTAGAAGTGTCTTACTTTACATGTGCAATTTCTGCAGTGATCATCTTCTACCCATGAATCTTTGTCTCGGTAGATGACTCCATTTACTTGGCAAGTCTTCTCGCAGTGACAGTTTTCCAATTGACTAAGTCTCATTTCTGCATAATTTAGCTATAAAAGAAAGTTACTTTATTTAATTTCTGGAACATATGTAAACCGCTGAAGTAAGAAATTCTACGATAAGGCAGCAGAGAATAGCAACTGGTTAAGAGGTAAATTTACAATCAAAATAATACAAAGCACTAATTATGATCGAGAGTGGAACAGAACAACATTTACAAATGTCTCATATAAGGAGGTCATCACTATATAATACAAACAAAACATAATTATTCAATTAATTTATTTAAATGTTACTTGTTTATTCATTAAAAAAAGCCAGAAAAAGCAAGAGCTTCCAGATATTCAATGGATATGAGAAGACCTTTTCAAAATCATAGTTCGTCAAAGGAGGCATCTCACACTCGAAAACAAATAGAGTCTCTTTCCCCACCCAGCCCTAATTTACAACATCCCTGTTAATCTGGAATGTTCTGAACAGTCTTATATCCAGATCTTCTGTTTCTTGAGCTCCTTCGATTGAAAATACCAAGGATTCTGCTTGAATAGTTCCCCTAGATACCAAATAACTCCACAGCCTGCTGCATAAGTAGTTTGCCACAAACAGAGGACAAATTTCTGACAAATAATCAAAATATATTCTTGGCTGAGAAACAAGGTGACTATGATTTCTGGTCATTTCAGAATTGCACAAACAAATATCAGTGCAGTTAGGAACAGAGGGATTGCAATTACAAAGATGCAGGTGTCTGGAAGTAGGCACTTATATCTACCATCTGATCAGCTCATACAAAGCCCTATTCTGAGCATTCTCAAAAAAAAACCACATGCTACTGCAGGCCACAGTGAAATCAATTGCTCCTAATTTCTCTTGCTTCTCTTGCCTGCCTTGAAGAGAAGAGAATGTTGCTTCCTTTGCTGCTTGTTAATACAAATTGCTGAAAGCCAGTTTCACTGACAAGTTGCACAAATTTTCTCTAAAAGAAAAGCTTTAACTTGCAGTAGGAGAAAATACTTTGGGAATTAGGAGCCAATTCAATGCAGCAACAAAATCCTGGGGAAAGACTTTTAAAAAAAAATCAAAAAAAATGTGCTTCATATGTGCTCCCAATTCCAAAGGATTTGAAGGATTTGCAGAGCTGCGTGTACTGCTATTAATGTAAACCAAATGTACCTGTTTTACCATTATCAGTATATGTAGAGACCGACCCATTCAGAACAGGCTTTGTAATTATAAAAAAAAAAACAGTATCCACACTCAAGATATTACCTGTACTACTATTAGTTTAGCCAATAGTTAAATTACTTGGTATTACAAAGTTAGTGATGATATTAAACTTTTTTCAGAAGAAAAAAAGCTAAAAATAACATTATATACATATGTATTTGTGAATGTGTATGTGTGTGTGTATGTATATATGCACATACCTATCCATACACACATACACACACACATACTTATATAAATAAAAGAAGAATGTCCAGCATTAATAAAAATGCCAGGTATCAATATAAGTTCCAAGCTAGACAGCTCAGTTTTATCTCACTTTAATACTGTAAAAAAAATCACTGCAAATTCAAAGGAAGGCAGAAACAATTTGGTCCAATCTGCTAACCGATACAAAATTGTACATTGTATGGCAATCTTCTCTGCTTAGGACCCTTTTGATCACTGAGATGCAGTGTAAAGAATCTAGAACTCTACATTGATTATACATTTAATATTTTGATATAAATTATATATCAGATTTAATTCTCAATTAGGCAACAGAATTATTTACTGAAACTGCAGGAGAAAGATCCATTAAGGGTGTATATTGCGCTTTGTATATACCCACATAATTTTCTATTTTAGGCCATGCTATGATAATATGTCCTATTTTCATTCAGTTGTACAAGATTTATAAAATTATCTTCTAAAGGTTTTGTATGTGTTTCAAATCTAGATTATATAAAGCGCAAAAGAACGGAAAAATCAGAAAATAATATTCTGATTATAGTTTTCGTATCTCAATTGTAGAGCCTTATTTGTAGTTGGGTAGCTTCTATTCTGAATCAAACCTAATGCAAACACAAATCATATACAATTTATGGAAGAAAATGCATCATTTACAATCGTGATTTGCAATACTTATCAAGTGATGTGAAAAGTGCAATCCTTTACTGAAGTGCTACTTTCTTGAATTTTACATTTCTCTGCAGCTCTCACAAAAAGATTAGTGGATATATTTTTATGAAATAGTGTAAGTGTGTGAAATGTATAAGAGTGTGGTCTATTATCTTCTTCCAGGAGTTTTTTTCACCTTTTTCAGTCCAGCTTCCCATGACCTGGAATTCATTCACCAGGTCCAGAGCTGTTTATCTTCTGAGAGCAGATATAGTCAACCTGGGATGCCCTCTATTTAGGCACATCTTTTTAAAACACAGACCCATAAAATCAGCACAAATATTTCCAGATTCAGGAAGTTTATTAAATGATGGGATGTGTTTAGTTTTGTTGTTCAGTTTTTTTAAAAAAACAACAATCTGATATGATTCTTCTAAACCCATAAGTGATTCGAATTCATCATTAGAATGGGTATCTGTCACTTTTTAAATATCCCTTGAGTTCAAAAAATTATTTTATGCTTTAAAAGTCATTGTTCTTTGATAAACCAATAACATTTAACTTTTTCAGCAATTACTATCAAAACATTTCTGCATTTATATTTATTAAAATATTGTATATATTCATAATTTAAGCAATGTTGCTTCAGAATGTTTACTTTAAAATATGGACTAATTTAAAATATAATGCATTGTTAATTATTATTAGGCACTCTAAATGGCTTCTAAAAGTTTAGCAAGGCCATCTGGCTATCCTTCCAGAATGCATTGTGCCTTTGATAGAATACTTAGCATTATTTATTGCCATTTATTAGATTCTATACTGTGATGTTAAAGACCAAATTTATGATGAGAGAAGCAATTGTTCTTTCTTTTGGAAAGGAAGAACAAATAAATATGTCTTTTAAGTCTCATTTCTATTTAAAGGTTATGAAAAGAGTATTAAGGAATATATACAGTGGTGGGATTCAGCTGGTTCGTACCACTTTGGCAGATCCAGTAGCTAATTTTTTGTTGCCCAGGTCCAGAATGGACTTCTGGAAGCAGCATCCACACAAAGAATTGGTTGCTCACATATTTGAATCCCACCACTGAATATATACAACACAACACACACATACACACACACACACACACACACACAAACATTTTTCTTCTCTGTTCTTAGTGCACCACCCTATTCAGAATTAATATGGGTGGGAAAACACAAAGCATGACTCACAGCCAATAGCTAACAGTGTGGGCAGGGAAGCATCAACATCAGCAATAAGGTAGAACATCCAATGGAATCCTTGCCCCTTTGAAACATGCACAAAATGGACAGGACTTCCATTGTGATTCTCTGTCTTTCATGTTGCTGACTTTGACAAGTTCCACAGGGTCTGCTGAAACAAAAGTAAACCATGAATTGTGTATTCATTAATAAAAATAGAGACAAATGTGCCATTTGCTAAATTAAAATTATTAATTAAAAATTAAAAGATATATGTATATTGCAAATGTCAGAAGAAGCATTAAGGGAAACAAGGAACATGGACTTAAAAGAATACTCCGTTTGTATGGATAAAAGTAAACTTCAGAATGGTAATAAAGTATTCACTAATCTTAAAACCAGTAAATAGCACTTAGCACTTAGACTTATATACCACTTCACAGTGCTTTAGAGCCCTCTCTAAGCAGTTTACAGAGTCAGCTCCCAACAATCTGGGTCCTCATTTTACCGATCTCAGAAGGATGGAAAGCTGAATCAACCTTGAGAATTGAACCGAAAAACTGCAGGCAGCAGAAGTAGCCTGCAATACTGCATTCTAACCACTGTGCCACCATGGCTCTTTAATTGCAACAATGACAAGCCACTCAATTAGGACTGACTCAGCATATATTAAATCCACTAGAATGCTTCAGAATTGTCTTATTTCTTTCAGTTACACGAGGTGAAATCTAATATTTTTCTTTTTCCAAACAAACCTGTTCAAAGCATGCTGTAAAAATAGGGCATGCTTAAATGAAGACGGAGCATCAATAAACAGCCTAAAGAAAAAAATGAACACTAAAACAAGATATATGTCAGTGAATTCATGCAGAATTTGCAGCCTGGTATATTTTTCATTCAAAGCTTTTATTTAAAACAAAAAGGCCAAGAACTTTAAAATTTTAATTCCACTGTTTTCAGTTGGAAACAACACTACAAGTCTGCACATGTTTATTCAGAAATACTCTCTGTGTATGTTCAATGAGTTAGTCTCAGTTAATAGACTTTTTTTACTGAAATCAGCAGGATTTGTAACAATTTTTTATAACTGTAGCAATCATTTCTCTGCTTTACCATATATAAATGTTGACAATTCTGATAGACTCATCCTACCAATCCTGGTCTAAAATGAGACACAGGTTTGTCTGCAATATAGCACAATTCCACACAATTAACATTTTTCATTGCAATAAAAAAAACAAATTCCTTGTTCTCTCTAGACCCACAGTCTATTCAAAGCATTATGAAATGCACACAGAGTATACAGAACAACTGGTGGCATACTCTTTCTCTTTGCTTCAATCTTCTTTCCCCTCCTCTTATACAACAGCCAGGATATGGACAGAACATACTTGCTAGAGTATTGAAATATTTGTTTGCAGACAGTTTTATGACATTGTCAGATCCTGCAGATGTTTCATTACTAGATGACATCATCAGTACTTTGAGCACTAGTGATGTCACCTAGTCTGGGTAATGAAACATCTGCAAGAAAACAACCAAACGCAAAGAGCATCAAGAAGCCCTCGTTTCAACCCTGAGCTACGATTTTCTCCTTTACCAATTCTCAGGTTTCCCATCCATGATTTAACAAGTTCTGGATTAAGTTGATATAAACCCATTGACAAATAGTGGGGGGGAAATACAGACATAGTGGTCTTAAGAGATGGAGGAAATGGCAACTTGGATTAAAAATTGTGAGTAATAGCCAGGTACCTACTTTTGCTGTCATTTTAGCCAGAAGCTCTTGTAAATCCATAATTCCTTGTACCAGGCTTAAGAAGTCACTGCAGGTAGGGCAGGCTCAACAAAAAGAAAGAATAAATACTATATTATTAAAAACCAAACTGAACAAAGAAATAAAATACAACGTATTTACCATTTAGAGACCAAATAGATGTTGATTGGAACATGGTAACTGTTAGACTAGGAAAGCTATAGATGTATGACAATTGACACCTTTATGGTTTTGAAAGCCTGATCAAAATGCTTTATCTGTTTCTTAGTATCATGATGAAACAAGTTGTTGCTATGCAAGCCTATTGTCTTTCTCATTTGAATAGGTAACGTTCACAGTTCACAATTTGTATTTTCCACACTTATTGCCCTTTACTTGCCTAGAATGAATGAGAAGCAATCTGACATAAACCAGTAACATGCCTTTGCTGCTCCAAGCAATCATTGGCATTTTCATGCCTACCCAACCAGATGTGAAGAAGCAAGCATAGCCTCCAGGTTAGTTTAGCTCTGGAAAGCCCCTGTTGTCATTCCAAAAGGGATTTGGAAGGGAAAAAAATATGGATGTACTTCTAATGCAAAATTGAATAATAAATGTAGAGTAATTATTGGATAACTATCAATTTGTATAAAGTAAACAGAGTGGGCAGAGGACTATAGTTGAATTGCAAAATTTAGGCAATCAGTTTCTATAGTCATTTTATTTGCACTGTTAATTGAAAGTTAACCAATTTTAATTGCAAATTCTAATTGGCCATTGCTATTTTTGTCCTGTTGCTCAGAAATCAGATAGCAGAAGAAATGCATTTGAAATGATTATAATTCTCAGGACCAGAAGAACTGACAAAATTACAGTATGAAGCCAAATATAAAAACTGCATATATCTCTTAAGGGACTTAAGGTCTACATTACTTGAGATAATCTAGATGTGTGCTTTTAATGTTGAGATTTGTTGATATGCACACAGATCCACATGCAAATAAACTAAGGTTCTAACTGAAAACATTTCTATAATTAAATCTTAGAAGGAATCTTTCTATATTAATCAGGAAGGATAAGCAAAGAGTACCTTTATTCATGATAATAGATAGATAGATAGATAGATAGATAGATAGATAGATAGGTAGGTAGGTAGGTAGGTAGGTAGGTAGGTAGGTAGGTAGGTAGACAGGTAGGTAGATACATAGATAGATAGATAGATAGATAGATAGATAGATAGATAGATAGATAGATAGACAGACAGACAGACAGACAGACAGACAGACAGACAGACAGACAGACAGACAGACAGACAGACATCTCCTAACAAGATAAACCAAGGTATTCTGCTTCTACTAAAGTTAGAATAGCAGATGTTATTCTTTTCTTGGTAGCATGGATACTCTTGCCCTTTATTTATTCCTCAATATAGGAAGTATTTTGTTAAAAAGAGTAATAGTCATAAAGATTCCCAATACCATAAATGGGCAATACCATAATTGCCATAGGGCAAAATTAATGGAGAGACAATAAACTATTATTAACATCTTATAAAAACTTGAGAATCACTGGTTACTAATGGTTGGATTTAAAAATTCCAAAACTTCCAAATGAAATTTCAATAGTAAATGGTTTCCCTTCGTAAAAGTAAAGATTTGGCAATATCATACAAAAACACCCCAAATATTTGTTATTTTAGAAACAGTTACAAAATTGGAAGGCCTCATTTAGACTAGCAAATCTAATTAGTTGCTCAGTGCAGAAATCTAGATTAAAACATCCCCTAATAAATGACTACCAGCCTCTAGTTCTGTGGTGGTGAACCTATGGCACGCGTGCCACAGGTGGCATGCAGAGTCCTCTCTGTGGGCAAGCGTGCTGTTGCCCCAGTCCTAGGCCCTCAGCTAGGTTTTATAAAACTTTTTCGCTTTAAGCCTCTGTTGCTGTGTGCAAAAAAAAAAAATTCAATCAATCAATCAATTTCAACTTCTCCAAGGAAAAAAAAGATCTCGCAAAGTTGGAATTGATTGATTGAACTTTTTAGTCCCACCCAATCTGACATTACCACCGCAGTCATGCCCACCCAATGGGCCACGCCCATCAAAAGGGCCACACCCACTCTTGGCCATGCCCATCCAATGGTCCACGCCCACCCAGCACCCAACAATACATAAGTGGGTTTTGGGTTGCAGTTTGGGTATTCGGTTTCTAAAAGGTTCACCACCACTGCTCTAGTTGAACATATCTAGTGCATGGAAACCCATCACTTATTTAGATTCCTTTCCAAAATTCCTGATTACTTTGACTGCATGTTTGTAAACAATGGGGACATGATGGCTCAGTGGTTAAGATGCTGAGCTTGTCAACTGAAAGCTGACCCGGGTGCTATGCAATAGTTGAACTCCCATTATTTACCCACTGCCCACCTATCAGTTAGAAAGTATGAAAATGCAAGTAGATAAATAGGTACCACTTTGGTGAGAAAGTAACTGTATTCCATGTGCCTTGGCATGTAGTCATGCTGACCACATAACCATGGAAGCATCCTCAGACAACGCTGGCTCCTTCAGCTAAGAAACAGAGATGGGCACCAGCCCCTAGAGTCGGACACGACTGGATAGGGAAACCTTAAACTATGAGTAAACTGCACGACACAATCCCATATAAAAGTATCCAAGCTCTTTTGCTTCTTAAGAATGCTGATAACTCTCCTGCCTAAAGACATAAAAAAGGTAGCAATATGTGGGAAAAGAAAGAAAATAGCTGTTTAGGAAACTCTAATTCAGCTTTATGGTAAGTTCAATTTAGAAAATAAATATCCATGTTTGTCAGTATGCAAGAATTTATGAACTGGAATAGCCATAGCAACGAACCAGCCAATGGGAACTGTTATTTAATTGAGACATAGGATTGGCTGTGTGAGGCATGTGATCCAGCCTAGGTCTGGGCATGTCTTAGTCTCTCCCTGTGTCCTGATCTCCTAAGTTAGTTGTTGTTGTTCTCTACCACATTGCCAAGAACTGAATGAAACTGTATGTATCAGGTTTATATATATTTTATAGATAAAGTTTTTCTAAACTTATGCCTCCTGCTCATTTTGAATGTGTCCTTATATTTTTGGGCTTATTTTTGCACTGGAAAGCTGTAAAACTCTAACAATGTTTTTATATAAAATGGACATTATCATACAGGAATACTAAGTCTAGGAGCTATATTCTCCTATAGCCAGTGGTGGGATTCAGCTGGTTCATACCAGTTCAGCAGAACCAGTAGCTAATTTATTGTTGCCCAGGCCCAGAATGGACTTCCGGAAGTGGCATCCACACAGAGAACCAGTTGTTCACATATTTGAATCCCACCACTGCCTATAGCCCCTCGGTATCTATATTCTGGAAAAAACCAATGCTCTGTTTCCTAAAAAAATAAGGTGGAAGGCAAAAAAGAAGATGGAAAAGAGGGACTAAGAATGAATTACAATTTATTTTAACAGTTTGGTGAAGACTGGTTGCAGAAGGGCATAATGCACGAATTCTCAAACTCCATTATACAGCAATTTCCTAAAAACATAAGCTAATTTATGTGACACCCCTCTTCCCAGTGAATAAAATTGATGATTTTCTTTGAACTGGGGTGGGCCCTAAAGAACTATATCACTTCATAAAATATATGCAATCTTCATCGTATGTACTTTCTTGACTTGAACTGAAAGAATGCATATTAATTCCTCATGCATAACTTGGGATTAGCACATGCTTTAGCAACAATGAACAAAGTTTGCAAAACACACTACATTAAGCAATATAAATATAACTTAATATGCTAAATATAAATTGCTACTTACTGCGATTCAGATTAGGGCACTGAGTTATATATCCATTAGGCATAAAGATGACTTTCGCATCTTGAATGATACCCTTTGTAATAGAAGAGAAAGCTGATAATATATAGCAACGTAATTAAAATGCACAAAATCATTCATTACGCATCTACTGTTAGGCTCTAGAAATTGACACAATTATAATTTAGACTCATATTAATTTAAAATAATGAGCCATATTTTCATTTTTAAAAAACAAAAAATCACTTAACCTTATTCAGGCATCCTGGCAAAGTAAAGCAAACTAATGATTTCAGAGACTAGATGAAAATTTCTGACACCAGCAAGATCCTAAACTTCATAGAATAGAAACTCAGGGGCCAGAGTCCCCATTGGAATGGAAGTAAGGAAGAAAGCTTTGTCTATGGAAATCTCTTGATACAAAGATCACTGCTACAACCCCAATACAGGGTGGGGGGGGGGGAATAATCAGAAGCAGACCAAGATGTGGATGCTCAAATTCATAGCTTTAACACTCTCTGGACGTGCCTGTTGAAAGTGAGAGGAAAAGGCACACCACCAGGCATCTTTAGCCTGGTTAATATGAATCCTATGCCCACAATTCTCCTGTAATTCTATTGACCTGGATATGGATCCAATGAAATTCATCAGAGTTCTGAATAGATATGAATGCACTATTAAAATAATTCTTTTTAAAATGGTTCTTTTACAATTTTTCTTCACTGAAATTGATTATGAAGCTCACCTTGGTTTAGTGCAGTAGTACAACTATGCACATTTTTATAAAAGCACCAAATTTGCCACGTTTGCATGCATTCATACTGAAACTCATTTTGCAAAACAGCAACATACAAAGGTCACATACATAACTCATTGTTCATGTTCAACAGGTTAAAATTCATACATATCAGAATGATATGGACTTAGTTCTTAAATACACTGAAATAGCTTTGAAAATGTAGAATGGTAGAAAATTGATATAATATATACCTACATATGTATAAACCTTTATTGTGGTATGTCAGTGCCTACTTAATCCAAATCATTATCATTCTCATTTTCTTCAGTACCACCCCATCATATAACATAAACTGAACAAGCATCAAAACTATCACACTTATAGGATACAGGACAGAAGATTCTCTGAAAGTTGAAGTCAGAACAAAACAAAGCATATAGTTCCACTATATCACCATATGCTGTCTTTTGCTTTCTCCAATTTCTTGGTCTTTGGCAATCTCTTTTCACTTTTATGCTTAATAATCTGTTTGATTTCATTTCACAGCTCTTCTGCTTCCTTATCAATGAGGGCCAAGGCTTCAAAGCAATTTGTCATGTTGGCATATATATATGGACAAAGAGTGATCACCAGGAAATATAAACAATAAAGTTTTAATAAATAAAACCAAGCTTTCGATGGCCTATAACTGCCATCATCATCAGGGTATAAACAGGTCGATGAGAGAACTTACTTATAGATGTAACCGTGTCTGCGCTCGGCTCCTGGACCTCGTGATAGGTCCCGGACGACCAAGCCTTGCCTCACCTACAAAATCAATTGGTTTGTCCTTGCATCCTTTGCCTACATGTGTATTACCACCCACCTCCCCCTTTTCCCGTGTTCGTAAATCAGGGGGGCATCCCATGTTTCCCCAGGTCGGCATCTTTGAGACCTCCACCACACCGTCATGCCTGCCCGAACCGTCGGAATGGAATTACACCCCCGAAGGACGTGCAGGAAATAAGCACCCACAATCGTCCCACCGTAGGAGTAACTACACGCTCCCAAAAAGCAGCGCAATGGATACATGAGGGTGAAAGAGTTGTCAGTAGATCAGGAGTTGTTCCGGACCTTACGAAGGGGGAGGATGGGGGATGCCAGTTAGGTGGAATGCCGAAATGTATATCCCTGGGAACATCTGTTGCTCCCGCGGCTGAACAACGAGGGCCACGGGTCGACCCGTACAACATGCTGGGGGCTGTTGTGAGAGGCAGGAGGATGGATGCCATCAGGGATGGGGGTTGTATGAATGCTGGAAGAGTGGAAAGAAAAAGTATGTTGGACAACAAGAGTGGATGCAGGATCCCTAGGGCGAAACCTCATCGTAGAGAAAGTGAAAATGGCTACGATATACATCAAAGGGATGGAGGTGGAAAGCGCCCCAAAGAGTATGAGAAGAGGAACCAACCCAAGGATGAGAGGTGTACCCCGACCTGGGGAAACATGGGATGCCCCCGATTTACAAACACGGGAAAATGGGGAGGTGGGTGGTAATACACATGTAGGCAAAGGATGTAAGGACAAACCAATTGATTTGTAGGTGAGGCAAGGATTGGTCGGCTGGGACCTATCACGAGGTCCAGACGTGGTTATATCTATAAGTAAGTTCTCCCATCGACCTGTTTATACTCTGACGATGATGGCAGTTATAGGCCATCAAAAGCTTGGTTTTATTTATTAAAACTTTATTGTTTATATTTCCTGGTGATCACTCTTTGTCTTTTAATATGTACATACCCAGGAATCATTCTTCTATTTTTAATGTTGTGTATGTGTGTGTATGTGTATATATATATATATATATATATATATATATATATATATATATATATATAGTATATATATATATATATATATGATATTAAAAATCGAAGAATAATGTATGTGTTATGTGTGTGTGTGTGTGTGTGTGTGTGTGTGTGTGTTGTGTGTGTATGTATATATATATACTATATATATATATATATATATATATATATATATATATATATATATAATGATATTAAAAATCGAAGAATAACGATTCCTGGGTACATACATTTCAATAAAAAGGCGATCACCAGGAGATAAAACAACACGGTTTTTAATAAATAGGACCAAGCTTTCAATGGCTAGGAATCTGCCATCATCGTCAGGGTATAGACCAGCCAGTGAGGAGACCTGCTTATAAACCTAGCCGCGCCTGCATTCTGCGCATGGACCTCATAACGGGTCCCAGCCGACTGACTCTTACTTCACTTACAGCATTGGATAATTCCTTCTTTTGGCTCTTGCTTACATCCATGTAGCCACTCACCTCCCCTTTCTCTTTAGTTCTCAAGTCACGAAGGTGGCGTGTATACCCTCCGTGCTATCAAGTTGTTTCTTCTTCCTATGTTCCTCGGAACATTTCTCTCTTTCACTCCTCCGGCGCATATTATACTCATTTGCATTTTTGTTGTCACGATATTCCATGCCAGAGATTCCACCTCGACCCTCATTTTCCAGCACATTTATTATTACCACCCCTCCAGCACCCTCATGATCTTTGCCATTGACCTCATCTATACTATTATTTCCCCCCACTGCTCCGAGCATATTGTCTAAATGAGTCCAAGGTCTGCCTTGTTTCACTGTAACAGATGTTCCCCGAGACGTTTGTATTGATTGGATATCTACTTGATGTTCTCCGTGCTCCTCCTTTGTGCGATCCAGCACAATTCTCAACCCAGATGCCTCTCTTTCAGCCTTCTGTAGTGCTACTCTCTGAGAGCGCGTAACTCTCAGATGGGACCCTAACCACTCGGGTCTACCGCAAACCCACGCACACCAATAGGATTTTGCATTACAGCAGCAACCACCCGGTGGCCCACAAAGTCAGCTGTATTAGAACCCTCTTTAAGAAGGTAGACTCCCACTGCAATACAGCCAAAGCCAAAACGGAGGAAAGAAAACACCTCTTCCGCCTCTTTAGACATAATGGGTACCCCATAAAATTTATTAAACGCCACAGTATTCTATCCAAACCACTGCAAAATCCATCAGTTGGAGTGTTACCATCCCAGACAACTCGTATCACCCTCCCTTACATCAGCAACCTCTCGGAAGCTACCACCAGGCTATTGGCACCCTATGGCATAAGGGTTGCACACAGACCCGACCGGACGTTGCGTTCCTGCATTATGAGACCAAAAGACCCACTTCCCATTGTTGAGAAGTCCGGAGTCATCTACAGGATTAATTGTAGTGACTGCCCAAGCAACTATGTGGGAGAAACTTCAAAAAGGGTTGGAACAAGAATGTAGGAACATAACCTGGCAATAAGAAGAGGTGAGCAATACTCCCAGATATTAACTCATATGGTGGAGTTTGGCCATAAATTTAATTTTGACGGGGTGAGGGTAGTTGCCAGTGACACCTCCAAGAGTGGTAGATTGCTCAAAGAGGCCTGGTTTTCAGACAATATGTCAATTAACCGACATGTGGACTTACGTCCAGCCTACCAGACCATGAAGGCATGGGAAACATGCATACGATCCCAGAAAAAACACCCGAGTAATAAAAACTCTGAGCATCTACCAGATGAAACTGACAACAAGGAAGAAAAAAATCTGCAATTTAGGGTTCCCTCGGTCAACAATTTGCATGGGTATCCGCCACAAACTAAGAAGCCTATTGATATCAGTGCCCCACTCCCAGATGCCTTGAATATCTCCCTACATTGTACCCAATACTTAGAAACACAGACAACAAGTATTCCGATCAGCATGGAACAAAGTTGTCATCCCAATGATCATACTGACCCCCTCGTTCCTGATGGTGCTCCTACCGCAATGCATCTGGTTGCTGGCGTATTGGGACCGTGTATGAGCTCAGAAAAGGAAACGACTGCTACGTGTGATGGCAGAACAATACCTTTACTAGGCTGCCATGTTGATCAGAATTACCGAGACAGAGACGCGCTCCCAAGAAACACACAGAAGATCAACACTTACAGCCACCCTGTTACGGGAGTAGTTACGTGCTCTCAGAGAGTGGCACTATAGAAGGCTGAAAGAGAGGCATCCAGGTTGAGAATTGTGCCAGATCGCACAAAGAAGGAGCATGGAGAACATTGAGTAGATATCCAATCAATACAAAGGTCTTGGGGAACATCCGTTACAGTGAAATAAGGCGGACCTTGGATTCATTTAGACGATACGCTAGGAGCAGTGGGGGGAAATAAAAGTATAGATGAGGTCAATGGCAAAGATCGTGAGGGTGCTTAAGGGGCGCTAATAATAAATGTGCTGGAAAACGAGGGTCGAGGTGGAATC